CCCACACGCCCGCACACGCACACGCACACGCACACGCATGCACACACATGCACACACATGCACATACGCACATACACGCATACTCACATACCCACAAACACACATGCACACGTACACACATACACACATACACAAATACATACACATGTACGTACATACGTACGTACAGAGGTACGTACATACATACGCGCACACATAGAAACACACAACAATGTATGTGTATAAACATTTGTATACACATACACCGTTGGCAACATTTGACCAAGGGGGCTGAGTTTCTGGGGTCAGGAGCTCAAGGAGAGAAGCTTTATGCTTCTGTGCGTGCAGGCCGGGAGCTGGGGCATGGGACCCTTCTGGCAGTCGAGCTGGCCGATCCTATTTGTGGGTAGACGAGCTTGTGATTCTTTGATTAAGCGGTTTACAATGTGTCACTCGCAAAGTCCCGGGTGCCAAATAGGGGGTCTGGGATTTCGCAGTTGGTGATTCGGAGTAGTTTGCCCAGATCCTTCTTGAGATGGCTATGATCTTTGATGGAAAGCCCTCGCAAGTGGTCAGCGAACATCAATCCACAGGTGCACGATGTCCGTACCAATTCAAGTTCATGGCCAGGCGGTTCCAGAGGCCACGAAAAGGATGCCAAAGATTTTGGAGTCCCTCGCTTTGACACCGAATTGGACCCCCTCCTTTGATGCCATTGGTTAGTGAATTAGATGTCTCCAGAAACGTGTGCAGGTTTGCCTCGGAATGAGTCTCGTCGGCCTAAAGGATTTGATAGGTCGTGAACTGAAGGTCGTTTCTTGGAATCGCGCAAGAGGGTTGGCTCAAAAACACATGTCTGACAATGATGGGCTGTTACAAACGCCCATGTTGTTTCTTGTGAGCACCCCATGTTCCTCAACACCTCAGGTTCCTGATTCCAGTTTTTTGCAACGCCCGACCCACGTCATTGGTTTGAGGACCTGAACCTCTGGTTCTAAAGGGTAAATGGGAAACCACGCCATGGTCCGCTGGTTCACCCGTGCTCCTTTCGCGCGGCCAAACTCGCGGAGGCCCAGCTGCACTTCATGCGGGGCGCAGGCGGAGATAACTCCCAGAGTTGCGCAGACACGATACCAAACTTTCTGAGACAACTTGTTTTGCATCCAGACTCGTAAAAAACATGTTTAGAGGAACGTTTTCCCGAGAGCATGGCGAAGAGTTCTTCCGTTGGATTCATGGGAGTTATCATCATGAGAGTCATTGCAAAGAGTTATCAATCATCATCAGAGTCATTGCAAAGAGTCATCATCATCAGAGTCATTGCAAAGAGTTAGCATCATCAGAGTCATTGCAAAGATTGATCATCATCAGAGTCATTGCACAGAGTCATCATCGTCAGAATCATTGCAAAGAGTCATCATCATCAGAGACATTGCGCAGAGTCATCATCATCATGAGAGTCATTGCACAGAGTCATAGCAGAGAGTCACTAGGAGCAATGCTCGTGAGAGTCACTGGCAAGGAGCAATGCTCATGAGAGTCACTGGCAAGGAGCAATGCTCGTGAGAGTCACTGGCGATGAGGAGCAATGCTCATGAGAGTTCTCACTCATGACGAGTTTTAAAATCCTTTCTTCTCTTCTTAGGGCGGGGGGTAGGGCCAACAGCACTCTACGAAAATCAACCCTCTGCGGAGATTCGTGTGGTCGAGGTCAAAAAACTGAGGACTTTTTACGATTTCTGATCTGTGCGAGCGACCCTCTGCGGAGATTCGTGTGGTCGAGGTCAGAAAACTGAGGACTTTTTACGATTTCTGATCTGCGCGAGCGACCCTCTGCGGAGATTCGTGTGGTTGAGGTCAACAAACTGAGGGCTTTTCACGATTTCTGATCTGCCCGCGCGACCCTTTGCGGAGGTTCGTGTGGTCGAGGTTAAAAAAACTGAGGGTTTTTTGCGATTTGACATTCCAGGATGAACCCTCTGCGGGGATCGGCGTGGTCGATGTGCAAAAACCGCGCGACACTCTGCGAGGATCGTGCGTGTCGAAGCGCTCTCGCTGTGGCGCTGTGCGAATTTGTTGCTTGCAAAGTGGTCTTTGGAAGTTGTCGCGTGGTTTGCGCGGCTGCTCTCAGAGTCGCGCGGTCGCGGGGTCGATCCCCGCCTGGTCCGCGGAAGCCTTTCTAGACGGAAAATCGCAGCTTTTAAGAGCGAACGTAGTACGCGGAGCTCCGGCTGGAAAATCGCAACTTTTAAATACAAATGTTTTACGCGGAGTACAGTCCTGCAGCTCCGGCTGCATAATAGAACTTTTCAAGTACTTCCCGAAAGCTCCGGCAGCACTTGGGGAGAGCAACTTGCACAGAGCGCTTACGCAGAGCAACCTGCGCAAAGCAACTTCCACGGAGCAGTTGCACAGAGCAGCTAGCACAGGGCAACTTGGGCAGAGCAAAAGTCAGGTTGTTCCGTTGGGAGAATTATTATAACGAGGGTCATTGCGCAGAGTCATCATGACAGCCATTGCA